TCATGAACTCAGCTGCAAATGTATTCTATAGCAGTGGCCTTGCTTTGCACACCTTTCCAGATGCATTATCTCTAATGGAGCAGGTGTTTTAGAGCCCCCCCTTCCTCTTTTCTAATTTTTTTCTTCTTGTTTACTTGCTACATTAGCACAGTATTACACTATAATGAGTATTGATCTTATTCCCTACTTCCCCCCAAACTATGCAGGTATTTAGGAGCCCAGTGGTATATGTTCTCTTCTTACTTGTTCTGTTTATATCAAATCAAATCACGGCACTCACATGGAGTCTTGGTGGTCAACTCGTCCTGACTAATTTCTTAAAATTAGATATTCCTGGTTGGCTCCATTGTGCTACAATTAGGATCATTGCTATTATTCCAGCACTTTGTTGTGTCTGGAGTTCAGGAGCTGAAGGGATGTATCAGCTTCTTATATTTTCTCAGGTTATGGTTGCTCTATTGCTTCCATCTTCTGTGATTCCCCTCTATCGTATTGCTTCATCAAGACCAATAATGGGTGCCTTCAAAACATCGCAGCTCGTGGAATTCATTGCAATTGCTATCTTTATTGGAATATTAGGACTGAAAATTATATTTGTTGTAGAGATGATATTTGGTAACAGTGATTGGGCATTAAATATGAGGTGGAGCATGGGGAGTGGCATGTCAATCCCATATGTGATTCTTCTTATTACTGCTTGTTCATCGTTTTGTCTGATGCTATGGTTGGCTGCTACCCCATTAAAGTCTGCCACTACGATTGCCCAATTAGATACTCAAGTATTGAAATGGGATATGCCACAGGTCATTCCTGATTCAGCTGCAGAGAGAGAAGACATAGATTTGGGGAAAAGTTCATACAATTCAGAACCTATAGAATGTCATTCAGACTTGTCTTCTGCAAAGTTTGATTTTGGTTTGCCTGAAAATATTATGGAACCTGATCAGATGCTTGGTTCAGTTAATCAAAGTGAGAATCGATCTATTAGTGTTGTTCAAAGCTCCCTAAAATATGTACCAGATGAACTTGAATCCAGTGAGGAGATAGTCTCGTCCTTAGCTGTGACTCATGATGTTCCTGATCAAACATTGGCTGACAAAAAGGTCTTAAAAATTGACTCAGTGGAGCCCGTTGAAAAGACTGTTGGACTGGATGGTGACTTACGTTCCGAGAAGGATGATTATGAAGTTGATAACTGGGAGGCTGAAGAGTCCTTGAAAGAGATCTCTGGGTGTATACCATCTTCAACATCTGAGGGTCCTGGATCTTTTAGAAGTATCGGTGGGAAAAGCGAAGAAGGAGGTGGGACTGGCACTGGTAGTCTTTCAAGGTTGGCTGGACTTGGACGTGCTGCAAGGCGCCAACTAACTGCGATTCTTGATGAGTTTTGGGGACAATTATATGATTTTCATGGAGTGGCCACTCAAAATGCTAAGGTTAAGAAACTAGATTTGTTGCTGGGAATTGATTCGAAACTTGTAACTTCCTCTCTGAAATTGGATGCTGTTGGAAAAGATTTTCCTTTCTCATCACCTCTTGGAAGCAAAGCATCTGATCCAATTCCTTCAGGTCTATACGACTCCCCGAAGAGTCAGAGGGTACAAAGTGGTTTAGAATCATCCTATGGGATACAAAAGGGACATCAACCATTGTGGTCTAACCACATCCAGCATTTGGATGCATATATGAATCAATCTAGCCATAATGGTCTTGACTCTGGAGTGAAGCGCTATTCTAGTTTGCGCAGTTTACCTTCTTCAGAAAGTTGGGATTATCAGCCTGCCACAGTTCATGGCTATCAGTTTAATTACCTGAGTAGAATGTCCAAGGACAGAATTTCTGGTAACTTGAATGGTCAGTTGGATTCATCAGGCTCTAAATATCATACCTTGGGTGGTGGTGGTGGTGCAAGCTTGCGAGACTCGGTTGCATTTGCAATGGGCCAAAAGTTACAAAATGGCTTGGGTGCTTGTCAGGCCCCTTCCCTTGGATTCTCTAACTTTGCGGTATCCAGGAATCCTGCTTCTGAATCTGAGAGGCAATATTATGATCTTTCTCCTTCTGGAACTGGTGAGAATTTGTCTAGTGTATCTAATACAAAGAAATACCATAGCTTGCCCGATATTCACCGGGATCAGCATGTATCAGATAAGAGTTCTCAGTGGGATAATATGACTGGTTATGGATCATCTATTGGTAGAATAACATCTCGTGGAATGTCCTACACAAATTCTGGATCAAGATCAGTTGCTCCATTAGCATTTGATGAACTTTCTCCGTCGAATGTCTACCGAGGTGCTTTATCACCACAAATGAATCCTCCTTTGGATTCTGGATCTTTCTGGTCTAGACAGCCTTCTGAGCAATTTGGCATGGATAAAAGTAGCAACTCTGAGAGTAAAGGCATTGGGAGGCTGCTGCATTCAATTAGTCATGAAGCTTCTTTTGTTGTGAATTCAGAGGCCAGACTTCTCCAGTCCTTCAGAGACTGCATTGTCAGACTTCTGAAATTGGAAGGATCAGAGTGGTTGTTTGGGCAAAGTGATGGTGCTGATGAGGAACTAATTGATTGTGTAGCTGCAAGGGAGAAATTTCTTTATGATGCTGAAGCTGGGGAGATGAATCGGGTGGTCCGTATGAAAGAATCTCCTTTGTTTTCTCCTGATAGGAGGTCGGTTTCTGGAATGAAGAATGGTACGAACTCTACAAACGTTTCTATATCCTCAGTATCTCATTGTGGGGAAGGTTGTGTTTGGAGATCAGATTTGATTGTAAGTTTTGGTGTATGGTGCATTCACCGAATTCTGGATCTCTCACTTATGGAAAGTCGGCCAGAACTATGGGGAAAATATACTTACGTACTAAATCGTCTCCAGGTACACGTCGAGTATTTTTCTGTATCAATAACTTGCTTTATTTTTCTCAGCTTTTGACATTCTAATTTTGTGAACTCTAATGGCAACACGCTTTCAGGGTATTATTGATCCTGCATTTTCAAAGCCCCGTATACCAATGCCGCCATGCTTCTGCCTTCAAATTCCTCAAGCATTTCAGCAGAGGTCAAGCCCACAAATTGCAAACGGAATGTTGCCTCCTGCTGCAAAACCTGGCAAGGGAAAATGCACCACTGCCGCAATGCTTCTGGATATGGTCAAGGATGTGGAGATTGCGATCTCTTGCCGAAAGGGCCGAACTGGTACAGCTGTAGGCGATGTAGCCTTCCCAAAGGGGAAGGAGAACTTGGCATCTGTCCTCAAACGCTACAAGCGGCGGTTATCCAATAAGCCTGTTGCCACTCATGAAGTATCATCTATATCGCGCAAGCTTCCAGCAACATCCGTTCCTTATAGCTCATAGCATTTACTCAAACATGGTGATCAGATCACCCAGCTGTTTAATTTTGGAAAGCAGCTCATGGTTTGGAACGAGATGCCGCCGTCTTGGTCTCACTCACTCTATCTCGAAACATGTATCAATGCCTTTTGCTGCAAATTTTCTTCCCATATGTTAAAAGTATGGATAGGATGTGACTGAATGGACCTTTAGTTGCTGCAAAACTGGAGGAAACTAGTGCAAACTCACTCACATGGAAAGTTGATTGTTGTTGTGATGGTTGCACCAGTTACTTGTGTCAAAAGTAAGTGCTGGAGAGATGACCTGAAAAGTTGAAAAATGTTAGTATATAGCAGACAGAGCTAATGTGCTGTATATATTGTCTGTGCAAAACTTTATGATCATTTCAAAAATGCCTTTCCACAAAGGTATTCCAGTCTGCCTGCCTGTTAGCTGATGGGGCTACTTTTGTTTCCCGTGTCGTCATCGTCGTCAACAAGTCAAAAGACAACTAGATCCTCTCGGGTTTATGAGTGTGCTTGTTTTGTCCATTCAGAATCTGAATTGGTTCAATATCTAGATGTTTTAGTCAGTTTCTGGGTTTTCTTCTCTTTTTAGCCCCCCATTTTCCTTTCTTTTGAACGTTTCTAGGCAGCTACTGCAATGTTCTGAGGTTCAAAATCCTGTTGGTTTATCATAATGTCGATGGAATAATGCTTGAATGACAATTCTGAAAACCGCCCACTTGGGGGTTTGGTTTCTCTGTTGAGGAGACATTGGTATTAATAATGGAAGATCTCTCAGTCCGTTTGCTGTGGAAACATCTTATCATTTTTTTTAATGTATTTGGAGAGTATATGGTTAAGTAACGCTCAAATTGACTTTAAAGATTTATTCCTTTTATTAGAAATCGAAGAAAATGAGTAATGTTTTTTTTTTACATTGTACTCTTAAAAAATTCACAAAATTATTCAATTTTTTTTTTTTATAAAATTTGCTCTAGCTTTGAATGATATTTGAACTAATATATGATTTTATTATAATTTTTTAAATAAGAAGCTAGCATTACTAAACCAAAGAAAGGCTTTAACGCACACAATAAGATGGGCCACATCAGCTGTAAAAGCCCACAAAGGAGAATAATATTCCACGCATGGGCCACAATAAGATGGGCCACATCAGCTGTAAAAGCCCACAAAGGAGAATAATATTCCACGCATGGGCCTAATTGAAGGCAAAACATGGGAATAAGGGTGGCCCATAATCCTGTATTAAGATGGGCCACCTTATTACAGAATTTGAGAATAAGGTGGCCCATAAACCTGTAATAAAATGGGCCGCCTTATTACAGAACATGGTAATGCGGCCCATAATCTTTATAACAAAATGGGCCAGCATATTACTGGGCCTAAAGCCCAATATCCTCATCCCCAGCATCCCATCGAAATTGTGGGCGTGAATGGATTTTACCCATTTTTAAATTTTAACATTTATTAACGCCCAAAGACTAAATTGAAAATTCTTTAAAAAATTATTTATTATGTCTTTAATTAGTGATTGGAAAAACGAAAACTGAAAATTTCAGAAAGGGTCACATCACCGGGCCCTACCTTTTGGACTTTATTGAAGTGGCGTAGAGATAAACACATATTTTATTTATCAAATTAATATATATATAAATAAAGGAATTTCCTTTCCTTTTCATCAATTTCTGTATCCCTCTCTCTCTTCCTGGCTTTGTTCTTTCTCGGTCTCGGCGATACAAATCTAAAAAGGTAACCAAAATTAATCCCTTTTTTTTTTCTTTTTAATTTCTTCTTCTATGTTTCTGCTCCTTGGATCGTCTTCTTCACCTCTTGTTTCGTAATTTTTATTTATTATTTTTATTTTCATATTTTTGGATTTTTTTTCCTCCTCTTAATATATTTCGTTATTCTTCTTCCATAGCATCTAATGGAACAGAATTTCCTTTTTATTTTCTTGATTTATTATTTTTATTTTTTACTAAAATATATAGTTAAATTAATTATAAATACAAATATTTTAATGTTAGGGAGTATAATTATGGGATACGTGGTGATAATTCCTCTGTGGATGCTTCTGTTCGTTGTGATTGTGGGCATTACTGTTTACCTATTCGTAAGGGCCCGTAGACGAAGGCAAGCGGCCCAAATTCCAATGTACTATGGGCCTCCTGCTCCCCCCTTGCAGGCCCAAGATAAGCCCAACTGATCTATCCAATTCCAACACTCCTCCAAATATGCTTTGTGTGATATTACGTTATATCTTGGCCTGTTGCTCTTTGCGTGAAACAAATAAATAAATGAATTTGGGATGAATCTTAATTTAGTTAATGTTATTTTAGCATATTGTTGTCTAATTTTGTATTATATTATATTTGTTCATTTTCATGAAGAAGTTTGAATTTCATTAGTCTAATGCTAAGTTTAAGAAAAAAAGAAAAGAAAAAACTCCGATCGCCCACCGACGCCATAGATCTGTCACCAGCCGTCGCACGAAGCCGTTATTCACCGCCGCACGGTCGTTGACGCAATCGGAGATTCTCGCTGGCGCCGGTGTACGCGAGTTGTCGGAGGTACAGATGTCAGCGTAGAGACACCCAAGTCCAGCCACAGGAGCATCCATGCCTAAAACCACTCGGCCTAACCCCCGCCCCACCATAGCCGAAGCCCAATTTTGGTTGTGCCCAAGCCTACTAGTCGCGCCTGATCCAACGACACTCGACCCGACCCGAATGTCAATCGACCTCTACGGGCATCCAGCATCCATTTGAACTAGTTCGCGCCTACCCGACCCGACCCACTCGAATGTTGACCGGTTCAGCCGTTCCTTTTTAGACCGGTTCGACACTATTTACAACGATTTTGACCTAACTGAGCCCATTTCAAATCAGTCTCTCCAAATTAGGCTATTACGGATTAGTTTTCAATAGTTTAGGTTGATTTAAAAACACCCTTCAACCCTTTGAGCGAAATGCGGTAAAAGGAAGAAAAATTGATGGACCGACTCCATCGTCTTCACCTCGTAGGAACTACGAGATCACCCCAAAGATGGTTTTGGTATTCAGAGGTCGCGGATCGACCACAGAACCCTGTTTAATAAGTGGAACGCATTAGCTGTTTGCTATCCAGTTGGACAGTAACGATTAGAGAATGACAATTACTCATTTTTAAAAATGAGCCTTTTTAAGACCAATATATCTAGTATTTCCAACCATTTTTAAAATATATTCGTAGGAATTGGATAAAAAAAATAAAAAGTTGGAAATAATATTAGTGTTTATAAATTAATTTAAAAAACGGGAATTAAATACTTTTATTTATTGGTGGAGTTACCGCAAAAACAATTAACAAATAATATCTCCACCAAGCCACGTCCACTAGCAATCCACTTGAATGACACGGTGCATGATTGTTAGCCGCCAGATATTATTTTATAATATGTTGAATCTTACGGTCAAGATTAATTTCAACTAATCTCCCTCGTGGTGGTCTTCAGCCACCATCTCACCTACCACCACATAACTAAATTTAGTTCGTTAATTTTTTACAAATAATAATTACAAAACAAATATTTTAAAAAGAAAATTCGTCAAATTTAAAACATGTTTCAATTACGGTCTTAAATACTAAAATTTTATTTTTGTTCTCAACTTCAAAATTTATTAAGAAAAAATTCTTGAAAAGTTATCTTTTTTGTTCTAATATGATTTAAATTATAAATGTAGGCTAATGTTCAGAATTATAAAAACATTAATAAATATAATATTTTATTTTATGTTATATTGTATTAAAATTATAGTATATACTTAAATATATTATAAATTATTATAAAATAATAATTATACAATATATATATATATAAAAATAATTTCCATAAATACACTAATAATAGTTTATATTCAGAGTGAGTACAACTAGTTTTATATTCATGATTATTAACTCAAAGAACTAATTTCTAAACCCGCTATTAAAATATATCTAAAGACTAATTAAACGAGAATATATAATTCGGAGATGTAGAACAAAAATTAGTTTATAATATGAAATATAATTTTATTTTCATCCGATATATTTAAAATTTTCAACCGGTTAAGAATTTCAAATATTTTTTTCTTAAAAAAAAAGATCTTTAACGTAAATTTTTTTGTCTCGTTTGGGTCGATGGGAAAGGAAGGGTGGGAACGGGTTTTGTTATCAAACTCATGTTTGTTTGGAGCTTTTAAAGTAGAAGCCGATTTTCTAAATATCAATTCCTATAGCCAAAAAAAATTTAATTGATTATCTAAATTAACTAATTTAGTAAAATGGTTAGAAATAATTAACCAAATATATTAATTTATATAAAATTTTCATAACATTTGTATGGAACACCAAATATAAATATTATATAATTTTTTTTCTAGGTATCATAAACAGAATTTTATACGCAGCTTTGAAAGAAAATCATTTACCTTTACCCCCACCACCAACCCTCCCAAGGAAGAAAGGGCTCCACCAAGCACTAAATTCAGCTCACCAACTCCCCCTCTCTAAATTATTGCTTCAATTACTCTCACCAACCCCCTTCCTCTCCACCCCAAACCCTTTTGGAGACGCATTTGATGGCCTTTTTGGTCATTTTGTCACATAAAATTTTATAAATGGATAATATCAAATGCTTCCTAAATTTAACACAAAAACCAAATTAATCAACGACTAATTCAATTACGCCATGCTTACATTTTATACTTTTTTTTTTTGCTTAATCAACAATGCCTTCTTTCTTCTACTTTCTACTAAACAAACAAAAATTAGGTCCCGTATTCTCATTTATATTTAAGATCAGTTATAACTTGTACGTTTATTTATACGATTCTTCATTAATGACAACACTCTACTAATAAATATTAATAATATCGATTAAAATTAATATAAATCTAAATTAAATTGAATTCATTTTATTATATAGTCTTAGCTTTATATTTAATCATATATTTAAAAAAATGTGACGAAGTATGAGGTTTGAAAATGAGAGAAGTTAGGTAACGCTGATTATTTCAAATATGATACACGCTTTCCAACAACCACCTCTTGTGTCGTTCTGCTTCCACCACGCTTCCCCTTGCTTACCACACCACACACGAACAAACCCACCCTGGTCTTCCTATTTAAACAACCTTCCCAGGCCTCCCTATCCCACACCTCACAAGTCGCTCATAACACCAAACCAATTCCACTCTTATATTCATTTATTCTTCTCTTCTAACATGGCACCCAGCCAGCAAAACAGTGACAGTTTCTGCACCATTACTGCTCATCACCCCGACCCACTTAACTGGGGCCTGGCTGCCGACTCCCTCAAGGGAAGCCATCTCGACGAGGTGAAGCGCATGGTGGAGGAGTACCGGAGGCCCCTTGTCAAGCTTGGCGGTCAAACCCTCACCATTTCCCAAGTGGCTGCCATTGCTACTAGGGACTCTGATGTAACTGTCCAGCTTTCTGAGTCTTCCAGAGCTGGTGTTAAGGCCAGTAGTGATTGGGTTATGGAGAGTATGAATAAGGGGACCGATAGCTATGGCGTTACTACTGGCTTTGGTGCTACCTCCCACAGAAGAACCAACCAAGGTGGCGCTCTCCAAAAGGAGTTGATTAGGTTTTTGAACGCTGGCATTTTTGGAAGTGGAGCAGAGTCGGACCATACTCTGCCCCATTCCGCTACCAGGGCGGCCATGTTGGTCAGAATCAATACTCTTCTTCAGGGCTACTCGGGTATTAGATTTGAGATTTTGGAAGCCATAACCAAACTCTTGAACCACAATATCACTCCTTGCCTGCCTCTTCGTGGAACCATTACTGCTTCTGGAGACCTTGTTCCTCTTTCTTACATTGCTGGACTGCTCACTGGCCGACCCAACTCGAAAGCGGTTGGTCCAAATGGAGAACGACTTGATGCCAAGGAGGCTTTCCAACAAGCTGCTATTCCTTCTGGGTTCTTTGAGTTGCAGCCTAAGGAAGGGTTGGCTCTTGTCAACGGCACTGCTGTTGGCTCTGGATTGGCTTCTATTGTTCTGTTTGAGGCTAATATTTTGGCTGTTCTGTCTGAGATTTTGTCTGCAATCTTCGCTGAAGTGATGCAAGGCAAGCCTGAATTCACTGACCATTTGACCCACAAGTTGAAGCATCATCCTGGTCAAATTGAGGCGGCTGCAATTATGGAACACATTTTGGATGGGAGTTCTTACATGAAAACCGCTAAAGAATTACATGAAATCGATCCTCTTCAAAAGCCAAAGCAAGATCGCTATGCACTAAGAACATCTCCTCAATGGCTTGGTCCATTGATCGAAGTTATTCGATTCTCCACAAAGTCAATTGAGCGAGAGATCAATTCAGTGAACGACAACCCTTTGATTGATGTCTCAAGGAACAAGGCTTTGCATGGAGGCAACTTCCAAGGAACCCCAATCGGAGTATCCATGGACAACACTCGTCTGGCCGTTGCTTCAATCGGAAAGCTCATGTTTGCCCAATTCTCAGAACTTGTGAATGATTTCTACAACAATGGGCTGCCTTCAAATCTCTCTGCAAGCAGAAACCCAAGTTTGGATTATGGATTCAAAGGCGCCGAGATCGCCATGGCTTCCTATTGCTCCGAGCTTCAGTATCTAGCAAACCCCGTAACAAGTCACGTCCAAAGTGCTGAGCAACACAATCAAGATGTCAACTCTCTCGGTTTGATTTCTTCTAGAAAAACCGCTGAGGCAATTGACATTTTAAAACTCATGTGTTCCACGTTTTTGGTTGCTCTATGTCAAGCAATTGACTTGAGACATTTGGAGGAAAACTTGAAGAGCACCGTGAAGAGCACAGTAAGTCAAGTAGCCAAGAAAGTTCTCACCACAGGCACTAACGGCGCACTTCACCCATCAAGGTTTTGCGAGAAAGATTTATTGAAGGTGGTGGACAGAGAATACACCTTCGCCTATGTGGATGATGCATGCAGTGGCACTTATCCATTGATGCAAAAACTGAGACAAGTTCTAGTGGAGCACGCTTTGAAAAATGGGGAAGATGAGAAGAACACAAGCACTTCAATCTTTCAAAAGATTGGAGTTTTCGAAGAGGAACTGAAAACCATGTTGCCCAAGGAGGTGGAAAATGCAAGAGTATCGTATGAAAACGGAACGTCAGGCATTGAGAACCAAATTAAAGAATGCAGATCTTATCCGCTATACAAGTTTGTGAGGGAAGAGGTAGGAACAGGGTTGCTGACCGGAGAGAAGGTGATATCTCCGGGAGAAGAATGTGAAAAGGTATTCACAGCTCTTTGCCAAGGAAAGATGATCGACCCAATTCT